ACATTGTGATTATGCAGTTTTCTACCTATGGAAATCCCCATTGGGTGTCTGCTGTCATCAAGCTGCTACATTTAGATGGTAGACCTGAGCTACTCTGAAGGTGAAAGAGTGCAACGACATAGCTAAGAATGAGTGATTTGTTTGCAGACTGATATTCATTCTGCAGAGCTTGGTAACTTGAAGCATGTGAGTATTCCCATTCCCACATTTTTAAATTAGCTGAATGCATTATGTATCATATAAAAATGTAATGAGCCCTTTGGAATGGAAAATATTATGAATTCCCCCCCCCAAAACCAAACAAACAACAAACCCGAGAAATGTGCATCATGGGGTACAACCGGTGGAAAGTAGACTGTACCTGGGAGGGATAGCTTCCTTCTCCCTGTGCTATAACACAATATCATAATTAGGGATCCTATAATGTATTCTCACTTACATGCCTCTAATATGGCAAAGGTCAAATATCAGACTTTAAGGCTTGGTCTGATGTGGTGTAGTTTCCACATTTACTCTCCTCAGCAGGATTTCTTCTTTCTTCTGCTTACAAAAGCATGACTTTCCCTTATGTTAGATCTGAATCACTGACTGCTGGTATTCCTCCCTACATTACTTCTTTTAGTGCTGTCAGTAGTATAACAAGGGACAGGTGACCAGGCCTAGACACCTACTTGGAGGGGGCCAAAAATGGTTACCCCTGCTGCCACGTCCAACCTTGTTGCTGCCACTGTGCCTACTGCCACTGCTACCCTGGCAGAGAGACTTTAACCTTCGTGGCCCTGTTAGCTACTTTTGTGCCACCTCAAAAAACAAAAACAGAAATGGTGATTGTACAGGTGTTGGTAGCTCAGCAGTACTGTCTTCTGACTCAGACCAAACCAATGTTCTGGCACTCTGCTCTTTCTGATGTGACAGGACAATGCTGTCTCTAATAGTCATAGAGAAGTAGGACTGGAAGGGACCTCCAGAGGTCATCTAATTAAAGCTCATGAAAAACCCATGGCATTGTTTTCTTGTAAGTCCTAGTGATATGGCAACGTTCATATTTGAATCATTACATATTGTTTCCCTAAAATCCCCTCTACATTTTGACCTAGATACAGCCTTCATTGCTTTCTGTTTCACACTATTGAATAGCATTGCTGGACATGCAATTGTTTTGGACAAAGGTTCAGGAAGATATCTCAATACTTTGAAAATTCAGGCCAAAGTTATCACCCATAATTTACAAAGCTTATGACAGAAGTTACAATTCTATCCTCAGCTAGATGTTGAAACCCCTGCTGGAGGAGTGTGAATAATTTTTGGGCAAAACAGGTCCTATTTGTTTGTTCAAATGATAGCATTGACTAGAATATGGGGAAACACCTGATTAACTGTGCTACCTAGAAATGTTAATAGGCTCTCGGGTGTGTATCTAGTAGGAAAATAAGCACAGTGCATTGGTTGCAACTAGGTTGCAAAGTTTCTGTCATTTACTACTATCCCATTCTCACATATGTACAAAGTTCATATAGGTATGCAGCTTCATCTATGACATTTCTGCAATAGGCCTATAGTTTAAAAATCTGCATCCATAGAATCATAGAACCATAGTGCTAGAAAAGACCCCAGGAGCCCATCTAGTCCAATCCCTGCCTCAAGGCAAAATTATCCCTGTCTAAATGATCCCAGGCAAGTGTTTGTTCCCCATCACCCTCAAGTCAGCTTCTGCTACGTATGTCAGGCCTTCCTCAGGGGCATTGGGTGTTGGCTAAAGCCAAAACCAGGGATTTTGACAGGGGTGTGCTGATGCTCCTGCAAGAACTTAAAAGCCAGGGTTTCCTGGCTAGGGGGTAGGGATCTTCTCCCTTTGCTCAAGGTCAGAGTAATTGCCACATTTGAGGTTAGGAAGGAATTTTACCCTATGGTCAGATTGATACAGGCTCTGGGGATTTTTACCTTCCCCTGTAGCAGAGGCACATAGCCCTCTACCTGGAATCTCTTGTGCGCATATTAAAAACCTTTTATAGGAACTGCTGTGGTTCCCCTCCTTACCTGTGGCAGGTTAGGGTGTTAGGTCTGTGTAAGTTATCTTTTCGGCCAGTGAACCTCAGTAATAGAGCCTGCTGTTACTTGTAGTGTTTGAAAAGAACATGAGGAGGAGAGAATTTGTCATTTTTAATGTGTGTCAAGTTGGCTTATTTGATTAGCATTACTCATTTTCCTTCATTTTACTGTTCCTGTCTGCTGATTCACATCAAAGTCCCTGCTAATTTGTCATTTCTCTTTGACTGAAAAGTTATCTAAAGTTCAGGGCCTGTCGGTTGTTACTATTTGGAGGAGAAATTGTTGATGGAATTGGGTATCTTTGATGCAATCTTGTTTGCTTTCACTAAATGTACAGAGCCCAGTTTCTCTGAATACAGAAACAATCAAAGAGAAAATAGTTTGTTTGCTTTCAGATCCAAGCCTGTAAATCCCACACTTAACTTTTTTTAGGACAATGCTATTAGGGCTTCTGTTGCCTTCTCTCAGCTTCTTTGGACCTTTCACAGGCATAAATGCCATCACAAAACAATAGCTGGTGAAAATCCTGGTCTATGCTACTCTTTTGGATGGTTTCAAGTGTTTGTGGCTGGGGTAAATGTTGGTATTCTTTCAGCCACCTTGTGCCATAAAGGAGCTTAACTGTTTCTTGTTGCTACCTTGAATGAATGGTGATGGTTATGCCCAACCCATAACAATATCTTTCTTACCATCATTGCAGAGGATTCCAGCCCTTCCATAAGGACAGAGGCAAACAGCATCTTGATTGGATTTTGGAAAACAAGTAGCACCATTTCCACATGGATTCTCATCACAAGTTGTGAACTGGCAAAGCTTTCCAGAGTAGAGTCTAGGGCAGTCACAGAACCAATTTTCTGTATCACTGGTGGATTTAAATAAAAATAAAAATGTTATAAAGATATATCTTTTTAAAGAAGTCTTTTAAATACCAAAACACTAAGGCAGCATTTTTTTTCAATTTCATTGAATTCCAATAATTTCAGATTTATTGCTGAATTGTTTTCATCTCTGCTTTTAACTTGTGTTTTTCAGTGTATATACCTTACAGTGGAAATGCATAAGTGCTTTAGAAGTTACTTGAGTAAATGGGCTCTATTTTAGGGAATCCATTTTATAGTGTTAATTTATCTCTTTTTTCATTTCACAGTATGTGACTTCCAGATCTTCTCATTACATATTCATCTTCTATAATATGCTTAAAATAACTGATAAGAAAAAAATAGCTGTTTGCTTTAAGTTTTTAAAGGGGAGAGATGGAGAGAAAGAGAAAGCCATGTTAGTTTTTTGTACAAAAGCAAAGCATCTATACATACATTAAAGAATTTATGATAGCATTTGACAACACAATGGTACGTAAGAGAAGAAAGATACCTGAATACCTGAAGTAGTAGTTAAATTGAAATTGAACCAGAATAGAAGGGTGACATCTCTTTCCTGATATATCCAACATTATCATTTATGAAGGCATTAAATATATTCAAAGAGAGAAGAGAAAATATGTTCTAACCAATTAGGGTTGTTGGTTGTAGCCATGTTGGTCTAAGAACATAGGCTAACAAAGTTTTTTGGGTAGATGTGATATCTTTTATTAGATCAACTAAATAATTGGAAAAATTGTTCTTTGCAAGTTTCCAGGCACAAACACCCTTCTCCAGGCATATAGAGAATCTAAAGAAGCGGCAAAGAACAATTTTTTCCAACTATTTAGTTGGTCTAATAAAAGATCTCACATCTACCCAAAGAACCTTGTTCTAACCAATTTCATTTGACTTTGGATGGGATGAGAAAAGCAAATATAACTATTCACATACATTTTTAAAGCACACAGATATCACAGTGATGGAAGCAATATAGAAACCTAAATGGATAAAAAGGGACTTGTACATGAAGCATTTCAAGTTAATGTGTATTATTAGGACTAGAGTCTTTAAAAGCTCCTGCTTTTCTTTTCTTTTATGATGAAAAACTAGCTTGACAAGCTAGATAGGTTAGTTTATATGATTGCTATAGATCCTCAGTATGTTGACCGTGCAAACACATCTGTCCTACACTTGATAAGGTCATATGTGCCCATGGGTCTGATTGCAGAAGACATAATGTGAGCTATGTCAAACCACTGACATTATGTTTTTCCTGATAATAGCATAATCCCTGGAAAGTTTAGTGATAAAATGCCATAGGGGTATGACTTTTAAAAATATGCCCACTGCTTCATAACCCATAGACATTCAGATTAGAGGAAATCATCTAGAGCTGAAAGAACCCCTGCATTCATTAAAAGAAGAAAATAAATAACTCTTCTGACAGTCTTTGTGCCTAACAGTACATTAGCGTTTTTCAAAGCTGACCACCCACTGTTTCAGGAGAGGGAGAATCTCAGCTGGAAAGACTACCAGAATGAATCTATCTGAATAATGCCTTCAGACACCTTTAAAAAAGAAAATTGCTATCAGCTGCAATAATAAATTTTGGTGTATAGTCTGTTCTATTTATAGATCTGCTGCTGACACTGAGAGAGGAATGTAAATGAGACACAGCATTACTTTAGTTTGTGCAGCATTGAGGAGCTTGCTTTCAACAGTTTTAATACCAACATTATGTAGTTCAGCTAATTAAAGTAAGCAATATAATTCTAGTCTGAAGTCATTCTGGAAACTTGCAATTGAAGGTGATGATCTCTCAGATTAGCTATTAGATGTGTTTGTGTTTGCAAAGGTGGGAAAGCAAAGAGCATTACTGATGACTGACAGAATAGAAAGATTTTTTTTTTTTTACATTTAGCTTTAAACACTTTAGTTATCTGAGAAAAAAATACTGGTAAATGGCATATCTTGTCAGGTTAAACAAATGCATAACACCTCATGGTAAAAATTAACCTGCGACAGTAAATCCTGCAACAAAAAGAAGCATGATCTCCAATGAAGTAAAAAGTGTGTGTGTGTGTGTGTGTGTGTGTGTGTGTGTGTCTGTGTGTGTGTGTGGTATTTTTCAAAGTCTCCCATAAATAATGACAGGAAAGTATTGAGCAGGAAAACCCACAGAGGATTAAATCTTAACTAGCAATTAGAAAACTATTTCCCAGATGACTTCTTGTCCTAAAGCAGTCTGCCCATGTATCTAGTAAAAATGACCCAGGGACTCCCACATTCCATTCTATTATTGTAAAAATATAGACACTTCAAAAACAAGGGGCATCTCTCATGTGGGATTCTCCACTGCTTGGTATTCTTTGGTCAATCATATCTTTAGAAAATGTGTATAAAACTCAGTCATGTCAGAGTGGTAATGTTCTACATTTACATTATACAGATATAAATGAGTACAAGGTGAAGGCATTGGATAAATATGTCCAGGAACTAAAGAATGTGGACAGTTGAAACCCTGATGTAGAGAACAAAAAAATGCATCAAGCATCTCTTTAAGGATGTAAAATTGAAAAAATAAATAGATTGTCC